TTTTATCAACTTTTGTGCTTTTAAAGGTCTCTGTATGGTTATTTCCTGCCACAATAGCATGAAGAATAGATTGTGTTCGGTCATCATTACCTTCCGAGGAGACACCCAAAGCTTCACTGACCTCGCCAATATTATCAAACACCTAGTCCATACCCAAATCGTTTGTCGTCTCTAGGCAATCAGGGTGCACAGTTGCTAAGGGTTCCATAATGTCCACGTTAGATTGATCAATATCCTAGGCAAGAGGACAGATCTGTTGAGAAGAAAACTGATCTTCAAACTCCTCCCCTTTGCTTTCAACACTGTTCTGATACAAGTTTAATTGCAGATTCAGCTCTGTTCCATGGTCATCCGTAAAATTTGTCATCAAATCATGGGTGTAATTCGTCCCAGTCACGGAGGGTAAACCATTTAAGCCTTTTAGAGCAGCAAAGAGCTTAAGTTCGTTAAGTAAAGTCACGGCTATATCATCTGTCAGCTTGAAATGAAGGTCCCGTCCTACACATACTATGACCCCGTTGGAACAACTAACACTTCTGGACGTGATCATTGAAGACAATGACTCTTCAGCCCGTGGAACAATGGCCTCAGAAAAACCCTCTTATGATCCAAACGATCCTCCACACCACCGCCACCATTTCCCATCACCTCACAAGTAGGGGTAGAAAATGAGCTCTTAGAATGAGAAACAGAGGTCAAACCTGGAGAAGGAGAAGGAGAAGGAGAGCATGCTACCCATTTATGTTTTTCAGTACGAGTCCATCGAGTGCCTTGGCGACTAGCTGAAGCAACCGGCAGTCTCCACTTTTCTTTCTCAGTCCGACGCTGAAATGAAGAAGAGGAGAGAGTTTAGTTTTGGATTTGAGCTTGAACCAGGGCTTGTCTTTTAGATGGATCTGGTTCGTTAAGAAAGGAAACAGAAAGTGAGTTGGGTCCTCTAAATACCCGTCTTTCAGTGTGGGCTGTCTTAGGCCCAAAGTCAGGCTTGAACTTGAGCCCATTCCTCCCAGACCCAAAACTTAACACTTTAGCTTGCCCTGAACCCCTCCAACCTAAATCAATCTTAGGCCAATTTGTGCGGCCCTACCCAACCTCTTCACCAACCCTTGTAGATAAGGATAGGGACGAATCTGGAAGTGAGCCTCTACGAGCACCACGTGTAATTTTATTCTTGTCAGCTGCAACGCGCGTAACCGGTGCGTCTCGGCTACTTGATTCCTCGCACAAATTTCACCGCCCTTTGAAGTTCTCTATCTTTCAGCCATTGTTGGACCTGTTGCACCCCTTCTTTCCCTTTGTTAAGAAGCGAATTCCATCCTTCCTCAGTCATAAGATGAGACCCGTCACTGCATTCAAGACTCTCTGTCGAGGGAACCAACTCTGGCGCGACTTCTTCCCAGATCGCCACCTTGTAACAGAAGGTGTCATCATTAATAAACACGAATTGCGGACAGGTCGATCCTATTCTCACTGTAATCCGAACGCTTTCGGCGTCCCTTGTTTCATCTGCAACAACTCCCATAAATCCGCCGCACAACTCCCCTACTTCAACAAATAAAGCATGACACCATAGGTGAAGGGGCAGTCCAAACATCCGGATCTGTTTGAGACCTTTGTCTCTAAGGATGCCGCAACAACCAACCCTAAAAGACCACACATCGATCCACAAGGTTGCAGATCCCCATTGACGCCGGCCTTCCTTCAACACACGTTGAGCTTTTGCCTGAGAAGGAAACCTGAATAGGAGCAACGAATCGGATAAGGGAGTAACCCCCACTCCACTGGACGTATTCCATGCTCACACCGCCCCTTCCTCCACCCGATCACATCCCCCAACTTCCTTGTCAAAACGACCGACCAAGCAAGGTGAGAGAACTGATTTCCTCCCTCCGACGGGCTCCTCGTCGATGTACAAAGACGGCCCTCGATGTGGAACTGCTGACTTCACATCCCTTCTCAGTGATATTCTTGGAATCCTTGCAATTTCTAAAAAAGATTTCATCGCAAACTGAAACTGAAAAACAAAATCACGATCGCCTTGAAATCGCCCCTAGTGGGGTGAAATCGCCCATAGTGACATTCTAATTTAGTAGTCATTTGATAAAAGAAAAATGATATGAATAAATTATTGAAAAATAGAGAACAAATTTCACTTACCTTAAAATATTCTGTTCATCTCTGTCAGGTGTCCCAACGGCAGGGGGAATCAAGAGAGGTAAGTGGAATTTACCCAAAAATTAAAAGACACTTTTTTTTTTGGCCTGGGACATACTAAAAAGTGCATGCCAGTGAGCCTGACTGAAGGGGCTTGGCCTTTACTAGGTCAAGGCTCTCTAGCTGAGCCTCGACAAGCCTGGGGCTTTTTTAGAGCCTAGGTGTGCCCTTAACAACTATGGTATGGGATGACACTATTGCAATCCAAGCACGATTAGTCAAACGTAAACACACTTATTTCATGTCGTATCAGTTATTGTCACTCCTACCTAGTATTTTTATTTCGGGTTGGATCAGTAATAGCAGGTTCATTCTTGTTTGAGGTGGTGGTCTATGTTTTCAAAATTTTAAAACCTAGACTGAATGCTTGCATTTATGATTGGATCATTAATAGCGGCACATGTCGCGTGACATCTCTCCCATTGCCATCCCCTATATGCCATGTTGCAACCGAGCTGCCTCCCACCCCTTTTTGGTTGTTAAGAAGACCCTCTCCTTTTGTTCACCTCTTCTTTTTACGTGCTTCAGGCGCTTGCAAAGACCCTTGTCCCCAACCTCTCTTGTCCCTTTTACCTCTACTTCTCATATTTCAATTTCCGGCATACTTCCGATGCACACTTGGCTTCGTCCTTCTCTCACCACCAATCCTTCTCTTGAGTTAACAACTTCTCATGTTGATCTCTGAGCGATGCTACTGTCAGAGTCAATTCTGACATGGTTCTTCCAACACAGCCACCTGATAAAACACCTTCCTGTCCCCCGCCATCACAAAAGCGGGTATCTCCTCTCTGTCCAGGCCTAAAATTTTATTCTTTTCATGTTTACCTTTTCATTTGCTTTTACGCCCTTAAAATCACCACACTGATCCCCAATTGCAACGAATTGTGGATGGCACCATAGATGGAGCTGCACACCATACAATAGAATTCGCCATTCCTTGCTCTTCCTCATAATGCCAGAGAATCCCACTCTGTATTTAAAAAAGCATCTCCCCACTATGGTTTTCCCTTTTTTAAAACCTTATTTGCCTCATTGCGAGAATGTAGCTTGAATAGAAGTATTGGGTCCCCGGCAATGAAGTCACACACCCCAGTCATCACCATTCAAGACTTCATAGCCCACTCTTCTGTCTTCTCGAGGCTTGCGACTTCTGTGTAGAAAAAACCAAAAAGGCACAGTTATTAAGTCTCTTTCCTTCTCTCGGCACTCCCACATCCACTTTGATGTGCCCTCCGTTTGGCGACAATAGCCCGAAAGTGAGAATGCGCGGTAGTCTTACTACCTCCAAAAACCTTCTCCTCTTCATACAGACTTGTCACAAACATAAGATCACGCTAAAGACAGGTCGACGCTTATCCTTGCCCTCTCTATCGCGCAAAGAATATAATGCAACTCTCTATTGCTGAAGATATCTTGAAATGCTGATGCTCAGTCTTTATAAGTAACATTACATCATCTATCAACGGAATTTTGTTTCATTACTTCTAATCCATGCCTTGGACTTGGAGTACTAATGCCCAGTTGCAAAGGTCAAATTGCAGTCTTTTATTTCTATCGTTCCAGAACATCAATTCCATGCTTGTCGTTGCTAGTTTTAAAAAATGAAGACAAAAGCCCGTAATGAGAGCATGTTGTTCACAGCATGAAATGTTTCGAATATCTAGTTCAATCTGAATTTTTGCATTGTGTTTAGCTATAACTTCCCTCGTCTAGGGAATTTTATTATTATCATAGTTAGTAAATTACGCTAAGGAAAAAGAGAAGAAGAAGGATTTGGGAATGTATGAGTATAATTCGATTTTTTTTTTTTTTTTTTTTTTTAATACATTGCAAAATTCGGCCAAATAAACGGAAAAGAAAAATACGAATACGGATACATACATGTATAACACGTATGAGCTGAAAATTCGGGACAAAAAATTAAGCTATACACATCTTATATATTTTCTTCTATATCATATACTTGTAAAGACAATAAAAGAAAATGTTACAATTAATAAAATAAATCCCATTTTATGCAAATTTACACCGTATGCCTCAACTTCCATCGTAGAATCTGGTGTTAGCTTCGTGCATAAAGTTGAGTAAGTTGGTAATTTGTATGATTGAGTCATACAACATAAATTTTAGGACTCAAATACAGATACACTCTTCACGAAATCAATAAAAGATCGAGTCTGAACCACATTGAATTGAATATCATTCGAAATAATATGCTTAGCAATTTTTTTATTTACCTCACTCCTATTTATTTTCTTAATTATTTCTGGCATGGTGTATTTGATGTGAACCCTTTGAAGATGAGGAGGGAAATTTAACAAGTCTACATTGTTCAACATCAGTTGAAGTAATGTAGTCTTAACTTTTTTTTTTTTGTTCAGACCACTGGTTGCTAATAATGCAGCTGTTTGAGAAATAGTGCTTGAGAAAAATATAGAATTAAAATTGAAATGTAAATAAAAATAATTGGGTTATCAGGAAACATAAAATAGATAAATAAATAAATGAATTAAAGGGCTAAACATATAAAATCGTTTCATTTGGGTTAATAGTGAAAACCGTATCTTTCAAACTTCAATTTCAAGCGGGAGCATTTCCCAAAGCATCGTACGTACACGTCTAATTCGTGAATTTACTTCCAGGATTGTCATTTCTATTTTTGTACCTGATTCTTAAAAACAATCAAGAAAGATTCTGGCTTCATGTGATTAAAATGTTTATCTTTTCGTTGTTATTTGTTACTATATTTTTGCCTTTAATGCTGTTTTTATATTTTGCCTCCTTAGGAATCCTTCATCGTATGGTGCGTGCCATTTACATCAAGGAAGGAAATTTTCCAAACATTGACAATTTTATTGCAAGTTCTGTATCTTTTATCAACAAAGGAAATTTTAAAAGCATCCACAATTGCATCCCCAATTTAGTCGTAAGTTCAATATATACATAACTTTAATTTTTTATTTTTTATCTAATTCAGATTTTTTTTAACAATTATATTGTTTGATCTTTAAACAACAGCTTTTTTGTGGACCCCAACAACTTTTTTTCGAACAGAAGCACAACATTATATTAGAAAATTATGGGTTGTTCAAAAAGGGCAACACTGATTGGCATGTGGCTGGGGTTTCCAAGACCAGATATATCTCGATAAATGACTTCATGTGGTTGGTACTCTGGATTCCTAAAAATTACAAAAAAAGGATTTATAATTACCTGTTTAAGCAGCAAATTTATGTTTTGGAGAGTTCTCCAATGACACTATTAAAATACTCAGTACTCTGTTCTTGGAGAGCACCATTCGATGGACAGTACAAGTTAAATGTTTCTGTGTTTTTTAAGAAAAATCTTGGTGGGACCAAGGAAGCTTGTTGTGGAGAAGTATTAAGAGATTGTAGGGGAAGGATTTTGGAAATTTTCTATAAGCCATTTCCTGATGCAACATCTAGAGATGAAGTATTGTTACTTGGAGTGCTTCATGGGATAGATGAAATTCTTAAAAGGGGATTGGAAGCAAAGGATATATTATTGGAGATTAACCATAAAAAAATTGTCAAGGTGCTAAATCGTGAGAACGATATACCAATTGAATGTCTTGGACTTTATCAGTAAGTTTTTTGTATAAAGTTCGAGTTTATTCTTAAAATTTATATTCAAGTTTCCAATTATATTGATATAAAACTATTGTGATGCAGCAAAATTTTTGGTTCGTTAGAATTTGATAAATATGAAATATCGTTTCAATATTTTCAAGGAAACACGGTAGCTAATAGAGTTGCGTATATAGCTTCGCATCTGACCGTGGGACAGAGTTTTCCCATAGGCGATAGAGGTTTTGAAACAGAAGTCAGGCATGATCGATTGAATATTCCGCGATATGAGATCATCCCGAATGAATCGTCTGATGAGGAATTTGAAGTCTGGTACTTTTACTTTTCTTATAGTATTTTAAATTCCTGAAATGAGAAAGTAATTACTGTGATCTTGTGTTGCTCACCCGGCATTAGAAACAAAAATAAATAATAAGGGGAAATTTAAATTTCTCTATTTCATCAGTATTAAAGTAATCCTTGTAAGTTTGTGTTTTCTATATATTCTAGACTCCATCATGACAATCACACTTATTTCTGCTCCTATAAGCCTATTTTTACTAATACAATTTTCTTTACCTTTATTCTAGTAAATTACTCCGTATAAAGTTATCTAGGAGAAAAGAATTGTTAGCTGAATATATTTTCTGCAGATTGTTATCTGGTTCATTATGCTAGCAGCGAGTAGCTTATGAGCTGATCACAATAACAATGCCCTTTCACTGATTGTTCTACTCCAGTTTGTGCCCGCACTATATTTGATTTTCCTATTAAGTTCACTACTTATTAAAGCAACTGGTGTCGTCACAAAACCAGTTTTTAGCAAGGGATGCATATAATCTGATATTGTACATGTTTGCTTACTATGTAACTTTAAATTAAATCAATTTATGTTATTTATTTGTCACTTTATGCTTTTAACCAATTTAGTTGAAAACTTCTACCAGTGTTATGCCATTTGTGCTCATTTTTATCACTTTAATATTCCTTTTCTCAATTTTTTTTTTTTCCCTCTCTCTCAAGAGTTGCGTAATTGTGTTGGAATTGATGATTCAATTTTGTTCTTCCAGGTTTTAGGGGCACCATGGTATTTGCTGTCAGTGGACTGGTATGTATCGTGCTGGAAATCATATTGCAAAAAAGATTTTAGCCCTACAAAATGCCTTCTTAATTATTTGGAAAACTGGAATGTGACGCTCTTGACCATGACGAGGATTGCAAGAATTGGGCCAATAGTACAAACGTTTTTAAGAGTTGGATCCTGACAATCATGATCACTTTCAAGTATGTAATATTTTAAAAATGCAGTGACAAAAAGTGGTCTCCTCAAAGTTTCTTGAAAAGTCGGTTGGGTTTCCAAAACTTCAGGAATGTTTTCTCCAATTTTTATTACTGGTATCCACAAACAACGAGGTTGTCTTTATTTCATTATTAGCAATTAGCATCAGTTCTGTATCCATTTTGAAAGTAATAATTCTCGTTCCATAAAACTTAAATGTGGAACGTCCCAATGTAAATTTATCATATTAGGTGCATCCAGCATGAATAATCGGCTAATTATTTGTTTGTACCTTATCATCATCGAATGAAATGATTATATATGTTTGGATGTCTTTCTTTTCCTGTACAATTTAATTTTTTTTTCCCTTTATTTATTATTTTTTTCTTTGTTACTAAATCCAATGTCTATCTTTATACATCTACGGACTCTGTCGATGAAATTCTTGCTCGATCATTACCTTATATGTATCGAAAATGATTTCTTGTTTACTAATGAGCAAGAAATTCAATCACATTATACGGTTCCTTAGATATGATGGCTATATATCTATAGGGTTAAGTACAGAAAATTCCCTTATTATATAAAAAATATGCAAGAAACACCCCTATTAGAAAAGAAAAAAAAAAAAAAAAAAAATTGAATACAACTAATTGTATTATTCATCTTTTGAGCAATTTGTCCATCATTGAATGGATTAGTTGAAAAAGAGCAGCTAGTAATATTACTTTTTTAAAAAAAATTTAAAAGTGCTATTTTTGTTTGACAAGATTGTCCCTACTAATTTTGTATATATTTGAATATTAAATGGTTTTGTTTGAATGTGTTTCAAGACCTGTCCAAGGAAAATTCTATGTATTGTCATAGTCTGTCTCTCTAAAAATATATTCTATCTAAAATATTTTTTGTGGCCGCCGATATTATCTCTATTTTTATTTTCTTTTTCTCCTAAATTTTTTTCTATGCCAATATTATCTCCTCTCCGAATGATAGATGCACTATATTTTATTGTAAATGAATGAGCCCCCCTTAATTATATATTTATCTATATCTATAATAATATTATTATTATTATTAAATAAATGGATTTGCTTTGATGCAAATTGTTATTAGACGAACTTCAGATTTCTATCAAAATTAAAATTTTGATCTAGTTACTCTTCGGCTGAACACATACTCAAGCAACACATTTTTTTTAAAAAAAAATTGTTTATTTTATTTTATTTTATTAATGTCTATTTTTATCATATAATGTGCAAGCCAAACTTTTTGAGTTTACTATTAACTTTTTTTTTTCTCTTTTTTTTTCCAAGTCCGTTTACCATTAACTTTTCAAGCACAATTTCTCAAAAATCATTAATAAGTAGGATAAAATACAGTTAAAAAAAAAAATTATAATTGATAAGTGAGATTGACGTATAGTTAGTGGCGTATGTCTAATTTTTTTTTTTAGCAACTATAGATTTATATATAGATATTCTTGAATGTATTGGAAGGACAATGGTTGAATTTGGTAAAAGGTAATTAGACACCCACATTCCAAATTTGTTTTAAATATTGGGACACTGATTTATAATCCTTATACTGTTATGTTATGTTTTGACTTTAAAGGTAATTTTGATATTTTGCCCCCTTTTTTTTACTAATGTTAAAGTAAGGTTAATTTAGTAATTTTATCACCAAAATTATGATTTGTCATTTTTTACACTTAACCCCTCTCTCTCTCTCTCTCTCTATATATATATATATATATGTATGTATTTTTGGTAAACTACTCGTGGTCCGTAATGGAAAAATGCATATAAATTGAGCACCCATTTTTGGTAAACTACTCATGGTTCGTAATGGAAAAATGCATATAAATTGAGCACCCTCTTGGATTGAAGGTATGAATTCAAATTTTAGTTTTGTTTTGTTTCGTTGATTTTTTCTTTTTTAATTTTTTTTTTTCTCAATATATATTTTTAGCTTTTGTACAAGGCATTCATTGAATAGAATATCATCAGTTAATAATCATATATAAGTCTTGCCAAATTTGGTTTTGAAGATATCCGCTTTATCAATTTTGTCACCTTCGCTCCTTCCGACTCCAATTCCGAATCATATATTCCAACTAACAATTTGGATTCGGACTCGTGCTCCAAACAACAACTTCCTCACGCCCGAAATTACGAACGCAAATCCTCTGATGTAATTATTTCAGTAGTTTTCTGCAGCGGAATAATTTTTCTCCCTATATGCAAGCAAATATAATATATCTCTACTTTTATATGTGCTGAAAATAATAGAGAACAAATCAATCGCACCAAGCCACAAGAACACAAGCAATTTTTTACGTGGAAAACTTTCCCAGTGTGAGGAAGAAAAACCACGAGACCTAGTCGAGTTAAAATCTCCACTATCAACCAAATAATGGGTACACAAAGTCTTCTCTAATCGCAATTAGAGGCTACAAAACGTCTCATCAAGATAACAACAATCTTGGCAAAAAGAAAGAGAATTGGAGAGAAAAATACCAAAACCCGGTTACTGTTTACGGGCACGAATCACTGTTCCCGAGTGCAAAATCCAATCTTCACCGTTCATATTTTAACTCATTGAGTCGTGAACCTCTCCTCTAAATTTCAGCTCGATCGGACCACGGACAAAGCGGGATCGGATATTTGATGAAATCTGGGCAGAATAGAAAAACCTGCATTTTTCTACCAAAACCAGGTTATTGTTCACGGGTACGAATCACTGTTCCTGAGCTCAAAATCTGATCTCCATCGTTCAGATTGTGCGTCACTGAGTCGTGAACCTCTCCTCCAATTTTCAGCTTGATCTGACCACAGAAGAAGCGGAATCGGACATTTGATCAGACCTGGGCAGAATGGAAAAACCTGTGTTTTTCTTCTCTTTGTTTTTTTCACTTGCGGCTAACCTCTCTCTCTTTTTATACTAACTTCCTTAGGGTTTTCTTTTCCCTAAAGGCTGGGCTTTGAGCTTTTAATAAAACCCACTTGGGCTTTCCTCCATATAGAAGGAAATAAACCCAACAAATCTCCCCCTTTCCGACTATGTGAAGGGAATCGCCATCCCGGCGATCGAATAACAAACTTCAAACTTCTCCCTTGGTAATGTCTTTGTCAACATATCAGAGCTATTATCATCAGTGTGAACCTTCTCAAGTTCAAGTAACTTATTGTTCAATGCATCTCTGATCCAATGGTATCGTACATCAATGTGCTTAGATCTTGCATAGAAACTGGAATTCTTAGCAAGATGAATAGCACTCTGGCTATCACAAAACAACACATACCTCTGCTGCTTGAAACCAAGTTCTCTCAAGAACTTCTTTGCTTATAGGAACTCTTTAGTCGCTTCCGTTGCTGCAATAAACTCTGCCTCTGTCGTAGAAAGAGCAATACACTTCTGAAGTCTCGATTGCCAACCTACAGCTCCACCTGCAAAAGTGATCAAATAACCCGAAGTAGACCTACGAGTATCTACATCCCCTGCCATATCTGCATCTGTGTAGCCAACTAACAATGGTTGTCCGTTTCCTAAACCAAGTCTTAAACTGGAAGTGCCTCGAAGATATCTCATGATCCCCTTCACTGCATTCCAATGCTCTCTTCCCGGATTTGACAAGAATCGGCTAACTACACCAACTGCATGGGCTATATCTGGTCTTGTGCAAATCATTGCATATATCAAACTTCCTACTGCTGAGGCGTAAGGAACTCTTTCCATGTCTTTCTTTTCCTTATCTGTAGAAGGACATTGCTTTGTACTCAATCTGAAGTGGGTAGCAAGAGGAAAGCTAACCACTTTAGTGTTGTCCATATTGAACCTCTGAAGCACTTTTTCAATGTACTCCTCTTGTGACAAATATAACTTCTTGGCACTCTTGTCATGACTGATTCTTATGCCAAGAATTTTCTTTGCTGGCCCCAAATCCTTCATAGCAAATGACTTACTCAATTGCTTCTTCAACTGTTCAATCCTTGAAGCATTCCTGCCAACAATCAACATGTCATCCATATAATGCAGTAGAATAATAAAATCATCATCAGAGAATTTTTGAACAAATACACAGTGATCAGAAGTTGTCTTCTTGTAGCCTTGCTCCCCCATAACAGATTCAAACTTCTTATACCACTGTCTCGGTGCTTGTTTCAAACCATATAGGCTTTTCTTCAGCTTGCACACATAATCCTCTTTCCCTTTCACTTTGAAACCCTCTGGCTGCTTCATATAAATCTCTTCTTCCAAATCACCATGAAGGAAGGCAGTTTTCACATCCATCTGCTCAACTTCCAAGTCAAGACTAGTTGCTAGGCCGAGTGCTATACGGATCGATGACATCTTTACGACTGGAGAGAAGATCTCATCAAAGTTAATACCTTTTCTCTGATCGAACCCTTTGACAACCAATCTAGCTTTGTACCGTGGCCGTAAAGATAACTCATTTTGTTTCTTCCTGTAAATCCACTTGTTTTCCAAAGCTCTTTTTCGTTTAGGTAGCTTCACTAACTCAAAGGTGTGGTTATCATGCAATGACTGCATCTCATCTTGCATGGCCTCAACCCATTCTGTCTTTTGTTCATCTTCTATGGCTTCTGCAAAACACTGGGGCTCTCCCCTGTCAGTCAATAACACATACTGCTCTGCTGAATACCGAGTGGAAGAATGTCGGTCTCTGGCAGACTTCCTGGATGGAATCACTGGTGGAATCTCTGGCGCTGTCAACTGCTCATCAGTCTCAATATCTCCCTGAACCTGTAAGGGAACATCCACATCACATGTACACTGGTGGTCATCCTGACCATCATTCTCAACCTGAGATGGCAGATTCTTCAGAGGAGCTGGATCCATATCAGTCAAGATATCACCTTGTTGAGACATAAATTTCCCTGCTTTCTCAATATCCTGAATCGTCTGATCTTCTACAAACACGACATCTCTGCTTCTCACAATTTTTTTCTCAACTGGATCATAAAGCTTGTTCCCAAACTCATCTTGGCCATAGCCAAGGAATAGACACTGTCGCATTTTCAAATCAAGTTTGGACCTTTCATCTTTTGGAATATGCACAAATGCTTTACACCAAAAAACTCGCAAACGATTATAGGATACATCCTTACCTATCTAAACTCGGTCTGGCACAGCAAACTGTAGAGGAACACAGGGTATAAGATTCAACACACGAACAACTGTGCTCAATGCCCCCCCCCCCCAAATTTTTTTTGGCAATTGGGCTTGTGAAAGCAAACATCTCATTCTTTCAACCAGTGTCCTGTTTATCCTTTCTGCTACGCCTTTCAACTGAGGAGTTTTTGGAGTTGTCTT